ATCCCAGCCAGTCGGGACTTGACCAGCGACCAGACGGTCGAACTGGAGAGCCTTGGGGATGAGCAGGTTGGCACCCTTGCGGAGGCGGACGGTGAACTCGCCAGACTCAGGGATCTCGAAGATCTCAACCTTGTCTCCGTGCTCGCGCTTGAATTCCTCGGCAGTCTCCTTGGAGGCCTCGAAGGGCTCCAGATCCTCTTGGATGACAATCTCCTGAAGCAACTGCTTCTTCTTGGGGTCGTATCCTTTGAAAAGCTCGGGCTCGATGAGACGAATACCAGTGTGCTCCAGAATGAACTTTTCGTACTTGGGCTTGACATCCTTGTCATCAACAGGATCGCCGGTCTTGGCGTCGACCCAGCCAGAGTAGGCCTTGCCCTTGAGGGGACCATTGTGGTGCTTGATCAGACCCATGATCCAGGCCATCTCGACGCAGCCCTCCAGAGAGAACTTGCCGTGAGCCTCCATCTGCCAGCGAGTCCGGGAGTTACCCCAGGGACCGACCTCGGCGAAACCAGTAACAACGACAACCTTGTCCAAGTTGACCATACCCTTGAGAGACTCATTGATTGGCTTGACCTCAGACTCCCAGTCGGGGAGCTTGGGAAACTCGAACTTGATGTTGGCACGAGGCTCAGCAACAACCTTCTTGTACAAAACACCACTGTCCTCTCCATTAATGACCGTGTTCTCAATGGCCGTCTCCTTGATAACAGCCTGGCGAATATCACTGCTCTCCATGATATCGGTGCGAAGCTTGGTCATCAAGCCCTTAAGGTCAGGAATGAACTGCAGACCTCCGTTGAGATCGGCGAAGACAGGGTCGGACTGGCAGAGGTTGACAATAGCAGGAGACATCAGACCCAATAGGTTGAAAGCCATCTCCTGCTGGGAGAAAGTGCGGACACCGAGCTTCTCGACGCCCTCAGCAACCATGTTGTTACCACTCATCAATCCAGTACCACGAGTCCAGCCGATGACCGCACCACAGATGGTGAGGTAGTTGCTCCAGTTCTCCGAGTACCAACGGTTGAACAGGGTCTCCAGAGCAAGCTTGGACTCGGAGTAAAGACCGTCGTTACCAAAGGTACCGTGGTTGGGGGAAAGAGGCAAGATGACTTGAGCCGGGCGGGTCTCGAAGCCATGGGCGTGCTTCTGAGTCTTGATGGAACCAAGGAGACGCAGTAGGTTGGTCAGCATGATGCGGTGAGCTAGCTCAGACTTAGAGTCGATAGAGTCGATCTCTCGGCCATTCTCGGGAATAGCAGCGAATGGTACCACAAAGTCCAGGTCCCAGCCCAGACCCTTCTTTGTGTCATAAATGTAGTCGACAAGGGCCTGAACATCTTGCTGGCTACCCTGGTTGAAGGGCACAACGACCAACTGGGATCCACGAGCACCATAGCGGGCATACATGCCCTGGTAGTACTCAGTCACCTGGCGAGAAAAGCGACTAGTGGTTACAACGACCTTAGCACCACCACTGATGAGGCCCTGCAGAACCTCTGCACCGATGGAACCAGCACCAGCACCGGTCATGAGGACATTCTTGCCCTGGAAGGAGAGACCGTCACGGGCAGCGGACTCCAGCACATTCAGGTAAGTCCCGGTAAGCTTCTTGTTGTAGTCCCAGCCATTATCGCTCTTCTTCTTCAGGTGGAGGAAAGGAATGGTCTCCACCTTACCGGGGCGAGTCACAGTACGCTTGACGCTGTTATAGCCCTTCTTGGATTGCCCGTTCTCCTGGAGCATGATCTGATTCTCGTTCATGCTGAGAGCGTGCAGAACGTCCTTGTAAAGGGCATCGAATTGAAGCTGCGACGCCTTGGAGAGACGATGCTGCTTTCGAATGAGCTTGTAGACGTTCTTCAAGTCATTCTGCACCTTGGTGCGGTTGCTGTACTCAGAAATTGGGCCAGCCTCGGCCATCTGCTTAACGTAGTGCTCCAGCTTACGGGCACTGGCACGGTCAACCTCCTTGTAATTGATGTTACCACGAGCATCAATGGTGGTTTGAGGACCAGTGGGAACGGCCACATCCTTGTAGACAGGAGCAACATCAAGAACCTCCCGGCAGTTCTCAATGAGCTGTTGACCCAGCTCCTTGGCAAGCTGGTATGTTTCACCGCGCTCAGTCGGGCAGTTATCGATGTGGTATTGCATGAAGTCGAGGAGAAGGGGGTTGGAGCGGTTCATGATGCGAATGCATCGACTAACAATCTCACGGTCCACAACCTGCAGGCGACCAAAGATAATGTCGTAGTACATGCTAAGCGCATCCTGACGGGCCCAGTTCCAGGAAGAGTCGTAAACACGGGCTTTGAGAGGATCGAAAGAGGGCTCGATGCCGGAGGCGTAGAAGTCACCGTGCTCGGCCTGCCACAGGTCAATCTGAGCCTGGAGCGCCTTCTGGGTTTCCTGGGAGGTAACGAAAGCCTTGTCACCGGCACGCAGATCCATCTTGAGGTAGCGGGCGATGACCTCCAACTGCTGCTTGAACAGAGCCCGCTGGTCTTTAGTGAGCGCATCAATGGCGGCCGGGTCCATCATCATGCCACCACCACCACCACCGCTATCTCCACCGGCGGCCGGGGTCGAGAGATTTATACCGGCACTGGCGGCGTATTTGTTGGTCACATCGTCAAGGAAGGCCTTGGCGTCGGCGTCGGAGCCAAGACGGGCTGCCGGTTCCATGGTGATCGCCAGCAAGAGCACACCGTCCTGACGGCCCGAGCCCAAGCCCCACCGGGTCTCCAGATACTTGCGAACTGCTGTGATGTTGAAGCCACCGGGCATCTTAGACGAGACTGTACGGGCAATTAGGGATGATGACTGCTTGCCCAGCTGGCCATTGAAGGTGGCCTGCATAGAGGCACCCAACTCATCCAGTGGGGTGTCTTCTGGCTTCTCTGGCGTGGAGCCAAACTCTTTTCCAAGATCTCCCAGAATTTCATTTTGTAATGTGGATTTACCTATCCAGGGGCAAAAAAAAAAAGGTTAGCCCCCATCATGGCCCTTTTCCAACATCTGATTGAACTTACCTCCAACGAGATCTTTAATTGCTTTCGTCAATGGCACATCGGCCAGGCTCTTCTTTAGCTTCTGGGCCACCAGTGACCGCAGCACATCTACGGCGGTAACTGGCGCATCTTCCACGGCGGCGGCGGGACCAGCACTTGGAGGTGGGGGTGCGGCAGCTGCAGGTGCAGGTGCTGAAGATGCAGCTGCGGGAGCTGCAGCAGGGGCAGCCTCAGCAGCCTGTTCCTCCTCATCGATGGGGTCGACATCATAGTAGATCTCCTTGGCATCCTTGTTGTAACAGAGGATCTGACGTTGAACGGAGGTAGCGGCATCGTAGGCCTCGTATTTGGAGGCAAGGGTCCGGCGGGCCATGCCACCGAGGGTATCTGCGGGACCAATCTCGACAATGCGCTCAGTGCGTTGTTCGGCGAGGATGACATCTTGAGTTTCAATCCATCGGACGGGCGAGGCGAACTGGTAGGCGAGCAACTCCACCAGCAAGGTGTGTGCCAGCTCCTGTTCAATCTCCGGACGCATGGTGTGTGGGTGTATGTGTAAATAGGGTCTTGTTTTATCGAGGATTCCGGGGTATCGAGGATTCAATTAAGGTAATGTTAAGAGAGCAGGACACACGTCCTGGAGGGCGTGCGACGGAAACAAGTCGCCCGAATGCCCACACAAAGGCGTTGAAATAAAAGAAAAAAAGGTAGGGGGAGGGAGGAGAAAAATAGGAATTATACAAAACACGAAAAGGGAATTAAAGAAGAAGGAGGAATTGACCAAGTTCTGGAGGAGAGAACTAGGATTCGGGAATGCTCACGCCCAAAGAAAAAAAAGAGTGGGAAAGTATCGATAGTGAAGACGATAGCGGGCGGTGTAATACCGGATACCAGCCCTTTGGTTTGGTAATTTATGTAATTTATGTAATTTTGCATTTTTTGATTCTGCGCTTTTTGAGCCTTTGCCGTGCAAATATACGTAGAGACCCAGGACTCTTACAGTATATTTGATACGACGTATTGAGAGGCTAAAATACATGTAGATATATCTTTGGTGTGCTGAATGGGATTAGAGTCACCTTGATCAACCCCATCTGGAGTTCAACCGGATAGAAGGGATGGGCAGTTGAGTTGTACTGTGCTCTTGTTGGGGCTCACTGGCACCGTCGAGCCGGATCGGTACCTGACAGACTTAGATAAGCGGGTGTGACCAATCAAGCTTCATAAAATGGAGTCGAAGCTCCCAACAACCCAATACTGAAGTGGAAGTGCCCCAATACTAGCTGCAGTTGAGCCAGTGAAGGAGATCAATGCAATGACCAAGGCTCCACTGGAGCCACTAGAGCCACTTGAACCACTGGAAGGTACTCCTATTGGAATTGTCCTGGCCTATGGATTCCTCTAGAATTACCAAAAATACCATGAAATACACATCCGGCCGAAAAGAGAACAGGAGCAGGATGAATAATCTCGAGTGTTGAACGACGATTGGGGCCACTCACCGCCCTAAACTGTTTCGGGTCGAATGCAATTCAACAGCAAAAAAAAAAATTTGGGGTTTTTGGTTCTACGGAGCTTACAGAACTTGAAGACCGAAAGTTCCCAGACCAAAGCCAATATCACGAGGCTTCTAACGTGCTTCTCTTTCCCCTCAATTCTTTCCCTTACTCCAGCCCTTCCTCCTCCATCTCTTCCCTCCCCCACCTTTCCTTTTCTTTTTTTTTGATATCATTTGGGAATTTGCGTTTAATAATTTAATCTTCTCTGTCCATTTCTTTGGATCTTCCCAACCTTGCGGATCTGTAAGTACTCCCGGGGTTTTTGGTTTTTTTTTTTTTTTTCTGGCTCCGTATTGCAGAGAATCCAAGCTCATCCGATCTCGTGATAGAATCTATCAATTGTCAGTGAGTCCCGGTTGGGTCTCTGGGAATTGATCAACAACCCCCCAAAAAGAGGAAAGAAGAAAGAGAATCCCCCATCATGTACGGCACATCAACCGGTCCCCAGACCGGCATCAACACCCCTCGATCTTCTCAATCGCTGCGCCCTCTTATCCTCTCACATGGCTCCCTCGAATTCTCTCTTCTCGTTCCCACCTCGCTCCATTTCCATGCCTCGCAGTTGAAAGACAGCTTCACAGCCTCCTTACCCGAGCCCACAGATGAATTGGCCTTGGATGATGAGCCCTCCTCTGTGGCCGAGCTCGTGGCTCGCTACATTGGCCATGTGTCCCACGAGGTGGAAGAAGGAGAGGATGATGCCCAGGGCAGTTACCTGGAAGTCTTGAAGCTTATTCTGAACGAGTTTGAGCGGGCATTCATGCGGGGCAATGATGTTCACGCAGTGGCTGCCGCGCTTCCTGGCATTGTCGCCAAGAAGAACCAGGTCGTGGAGGCCTACTACGCCGGACGAGCTGCCGCAGGCCGGCCCACCAAGCCCTATGACTCGGCCCTGTTCCGGGCTGCCTCCGAAGATGCCGCAGGTATCTACACGGTCTTTGGTGGCCAGGGCAACATTGAAGAGTACTTTGACGAGCTACGCGCCATCTACACCACCTACCCCTCCTTCGTGGAGGAGTTGATCACCTCTTCGGCCGAGCTTTTGCAAACCCTCTCACGGGAACCGGAGGCCAGCAAGCTTTACCCTAAAGGTCTGGATGTCATCCAATGGCTCCAGGATCGGGATTCTCAGCCGGATATTGATTACCTGGTCTCGGCTCCCGTCAGTCTGCCCTTGATTGGGTTGGTTCAGCTCGCTCACTACACGGTGACCTGCAAGGTCCTGGGCCGTCAGCCAGGTGACCTCCTCGAGCGCATTCGAGGAACCACTGGTCACTCACAGGGTGTGGTGACCGCTGCGGCCATTGCCACAGCTACTAGCTGGGAGTCCTTTGCCCAGGCGGCAAAGAATGCCTTGACCATGCTGTTCTGGATTGGTCTGCGGAGCCAGCAGGCCTACCCCCGCACCTCCCTGGCTCCCTCGGTGCTCCAGGACTCGATTGAGAATGGAGAGGGATCCCCCACCCCCATGCTGTCCATTCGCGATCTCTCCCGGGCAGCGGTCCAGGAGCACATTGATGCCACCAACCAGCACTTGCCGGAAGATCGTCACATTGCCATATCTTTGGTCAACAGTGCCCGCAACTTCGTTGTGACCGGCCCCCCGATCTCTCTCTATGGTTTGAACCTGCGTCTGCGCAAGGTCAAGGCTCCTACCGGCCTAGACCAGAACCGTGTTCCGTTCACACAGCGGAAGGTTCGCTTCGTCAACCGCTTCCTCCCCATCACAGCCCCCTTCCACAGCCAGTATCTCACCTCCGCTTATGATCGGATTCTGGAGGATTTGGAGGATGTCGATATCCCTGCCAGCTCCCTGGTCATCCCCGTCTTCAACACAAGGACCGGCGAGGATCTGCGTGAGCTGGGCGACAAGAGTGCCGTGCCCTCTCTGGTCCGCATGATTACTCACGATGCCGTCAACTGGGAGCAGGCCACCGTTTTCCCCGGTGCCACCCACATTGTGGACTTTGGCCCCGGTGGCATTTCGGGCCTGGGTGTCCTGACTAACCGCAACAAGGACGGTACCGGTGTTCGTGTCATCCTTGCTGGTGAGATGGACGGTACCAACGCTGAGGTTGGCTACAAGCCGGAGCTTTTTGATCGTGATGAGCACTCGGTGAAGTTTGCCGTTGACTGGGTCAAGGAACACGGTCCCCGTCTCGTACAGACCTCCACCGGTCAGACCTATGTCGACACCAAGATGAGTCGCCTGCTGGGTATCCCTCCTGTCATGGTGGCCGGTATGACCCCCACCACTGTCCCATGGGACTTTGTGGCCGCCACGATGAATGCTGGCTACCACATTGAGCTGGCTGGCGGCGGTTACTACAACGCCAAGACCATGACCGAGGCCATCACTAAGATTGAAAAAGTTATTCCTCCTGGTCGTGGTATCACAATCAACCTGATCTACGTCAACCCCCGGGCCATGGCCTGGCAGATCCCTCTGATCGGCCGTCTGCGTGCCGAGGGCGTGCCTGTCGAGGGTCTTGCCATTGGTGCAGGTGTGCCTTCTATCGAGGTCGCCAATGAATACATTGAGACTCTTGGTATCAAGCACATCGCCTTCAAGCCTGGCTCCGTCGACGCCATTCAGCAAGTCATCAACATTGCTAAGGCCAACCCCAAGTTCCCTATTATGATGCAGTGGACTGGTGGCCGTGGTGGTGGTCACCACTCATTCGAGGACTTCCACCAGCCGATCCTCCAGATGTACAGCCGGATCCGCAAGCAAGACAACATCGTCATTGTTGCTGGTAGTGGTTTCGGTGGCGCCGAGGACACCTACCCCTATCTCTCTGGTACCTGGTCTGCCAAGTTTGGCTACCCTCCCATGCCCTTTGACGGATGTCTCTTCGGTAGTCGCATGATGATCTCCAAGGAAGCCCACACCTCCAGGAACGCAAAGAAGGCCATTGCCGATGCTCCTGGTGTGGACGACGCAGAGTGGGAGAAGACCTACAAGCAGGCCACTGGCGGTGTGATCACCGTCTTGTCTGAGATGGGTGAGCCTATCCACAAGCTGGCCACTCGGGGTGTCCTGTTCTGGCAGGAGATGGACCAGAAGATTTTCAAGCTCGACAAGGCCAAGCGTGTCCCTGAGCTCAAGAAGCAGCGCAACTACATCATCAAGAAACTCAACGATGATTTCCACAAGGTGTGGTTTGGTCGCAACGCTGCCGGGGAGACAGTGGATCTTGAGGACATGACCTACGCTGAGGTGGCTCACCGCATGGTGGATCTCATGTACGTCAAGCATGAGTCCCGATGGATTGATGATTCCCTCAAGCGTCTCACTGGTGACTTCCTCCGTCGTGTTGAGGAGCGATTCACCACCGCCAATGGCCAGGCCTCGCTGCTTCAAAACTACTCCGAGTTGAACACTCCCTACCCCGCAGTGGACAACATCCTGGCTGCGTACCCTGAGGCTGCCTCCCAACTGATCAACGCGCAAGATGTCCAGCATTTCCTGCTGCTGTGCCAGCGTCGCGGACAGAAGCCCGTTCCCTTCGTCCCCTCGCTCGATGAAAATTTCGAGTATTTCTTCAAGAAGGATTCGCTGTGGCAAAGTGAGGATCTGGAGGCTGTTGTTGATCAGGACGTTGGCCGTACCTGTATCCTTCAGGGCCCTATGGCTGCTCGTTTCTCTAACATCATTGATGAGCCCGTTCAGGACATTCTTGATGGTGTTCACAATGGTCACATCGCCGGTCTGCTTCGCGATGTCTACGGCGGTGACAAGAGCAAGATTCCTGTGATCGAATACTTTGGTGGCAATCTGGCCACTGCGGAGGATGAGGCCGAAGTCGAGGGTCTCACCATATCTGACGAGGCCAGCAAGACCAGCTTCCGTCTTTCATCTTCCTCTGCCGATCTGCCTGAGCTGGACCGCTGGCTACGTCTTTTGGCTGGTGATTCCTACTCCTGGCGTCATGCCTTGTTCATGGCCGATGTTTTCGTTCAGGGTCACCGTTTCCAGACCAACCCCTTGAAGCGAATTGTCGCTCCCACCCCTGGTCTCTTTGTGGAAATCACTAACCCCAAGGAGCCCGCCAAATCCGTCATTAGTGTGCGCGAGCCTTATCAGTCCGGCAAGCTCGTCAAGACTGTCGAGGCCAAGATGAATGAGAACGGTCAGATTAGCCTGACTCTGTTTGAAGGCCGCACTGCCGAAGGTGGTGTTGTCCCTCTGACCTTCCTCTTCACCTACCACCCCGAGACCGGATACGCCCCCCTGCGTGAGGTCATGGGCGATCGCAATGATCGCATCAAAGAGTTCTACTACCGCATCTGGTTTGGTAACAAGGATGTTCCTTTCGATACCCCGACGACCGCCACCTTCAGCGGTGGTCGTACCACCATCACTTCTCAGGCTGTCGCCGACTTCGTCCATGCTGTCGGCAACACTGGTGAGGCCTTTGTTGACCGTCCTGGTAAGGAGGTCTACGCGCCTATGGACTTCGCCATCGTGGCTGGCTGGAAGGCTATCACCAAGCCCATCTTCCCCCGCACCATCGATGGAGACTTGTTGAAGCTCGTCCATTTGTCTAACGGCTTCAAGATGGTTCCAGGTGCTGAGCCCTTGAAGGTCGGTGATGTCCTCGATACCACTGCCCAGATCAACGCTGTGATCAACCAGGATTCCGGCAAGATGGTTGAGGTTTGTGGTACTATCAAGCGTGACGGCAAGGCTATCATGCACGTCACCAGTCAGTTCCTGTACCGCGGTGCGTACGTGGACTACGAGAACACCTTCCAGCGCAAGGACGAAGTGCCCATGCAGGTTCACCTGGCTACCAGCCGCGATGTCGCCATTCTGCGCTCCAAGGAGTGGTTCCGCATGGATGAGAGTGAAATCGAGCTCCTGGGCCAGACTCTCACTTTCCGTCTGCAGAGTTTGATTCGCTTTAAGAACCAGACTGTTTTCAGCAACGTCCAGACCATTGGTCAGGTCTTGTTGGAGCTGCCCACCAAGGAGGTTATCCAGGTGGCGTCTGTGGACTACGAGGCCGGCACTTCTCACGGTAACCCGGTGATTGACTACCTCCAGCGCAACGGAACTTCCATTGAGCAGCCGGTCTACTTTGAAAACCCCATCCCGCTCAGCGGCAAGACTCCGTTGGAGCTCCGCGCTCCGGCCTCCAACGAGACCTACGCTCGTGTCTCCGGTGACTACAACCCCATTCACGTGTCCCGTGTCTTCTCCAGCTACGCCAACCTGCCTGGTACCATCACCCACGGCATGTACAGCAGTGCTGCCGTGCGCAGCTTGGTGGAAACCTGGGCGGCTGAGAACAACATTGGCCGTGTTCGTGGCTTCCACGTATCCTTGGTCGGCATGGTCCTGCCCAACGATATGATCACCGTTAAGCTCCAGCACGTTGGTATGATTGCTGGTCGCAAGATCATCAAGGTTGAGGTCAGTAACAAGGAGACCGAGGACAAGGTTCTGCTGGGTGAGGCTGAAGTCGAGCAACCCGTGACCTCCTATGTCTTCACCGGTCAGGGCTCTCAGGAGCAGGGTATGGGTATGGAGCTTTATGCCAGCAGCCCTGTGGCCAAGGAGGTTTGGGATCGTGCTGATCGCCACTTCATCGAGAACTACGGCCTGTCCATCATTGACATCGTCAAGAACAATCCCAAGGAGCTGACCGTCTACTTTGGTGGTCCTCGGGGTAAGGCCATCCGCCAGAACTACATGGCGATGACCTTCGAGTCCGTGAACGCCGATGGTTCAATCAAGTCAGAGAAGATCTTCAAGGGCATTGACGAGACCACTGATTCATACACTTACCGGTCCCCTACCGGTCTGCTGTCTGCCACTCAGTTCACTCAGCCCGCACTGACCCTGATGGAGAAGGCTAGTTTCGAGGACATGCGCTCCAAGGGTCTGGTCCAGCGTGACAGCAGCTTCGCCGGTCACTCCCTCGGTGAATACTCGGCCCTGGCTGCCCTTGCCGATGTCATGCCCATTGAGAGCTTGGTGTCCGTCGTGTTCTACCGTGGCCTGACCATGCAGGTCGCTGTCGAGCGTGACGAGCAGGGTCGCTCAAACTACTCTATGTGCGCTGTCAACCCCAGCCGTATCTCCAAGACCTTCAACGAGCAGGCACTGCAGTACGTGGTGGAGAACATTTCTGAGGCGACCGGTTGGTTGCTGGAGATTGTCAACTATAATGTGGCTAACATGCAATATGTGGCCGCTGGTGATGTAAGTCTCTTCTTTTTCGTCTTTTTCAGTGATCTTGGTCATATTGGATACTAATCATCTCTCTATAGCTCCGCGCTCTTGACTGTCTCACCAACCTTCTTAACTTCCTCAAGGCCCAGAATATGGACATTCCTGCTCTGATGCAGAGCATGTCCCTTGAGGACGTCAAGGCCCACCTGGTGAGCATCATCCAGGAGTGTGTCAAGCAGACCGAGGCCAAGCCCCGGCCTATTCAGCTGGAGCGTGGCTTCGCCACCATCCCGCTCAAGGGTATCGATGTGCCCTTCCACAGTACCTTCTTGCGCTCTGGTGTCAAGCCTTTCCGATCCTTCTTGCTCAAGAAGATCAACAAGACCACCATCGATCCCAGCAAGTTGGTGGGCAAGTACATTCCCAACGTGACTGCCCGTCCCTTCGAGATTACCAAGGAGTACTTTGAGGATGTGTACCGTCTCACCAACTCTCCTCGTATTGCCTCCATCCTGGCCAACTGGGAGAAGTACGAAGAGGGCACCGAGACTGCTGCCCGTGCGGCCTAATGATGTATCTTGTGATTCCCCTTCTCGTCCTTCCTAATGTGTTTGTTGTTTTCGTGATAGAAAGACCTTGTTTTGTCTCGGTCGTGATGTGACATGTTTCGAATCTTGGCGGAGTTGTTCTTGCATGTATATGAGTCTTTTTCTTTTCCCTTTTAAGTTTGTTCTTTACAATGAGAGTTTCCCCTGTAATATGCTTCTTTATCTTCCGAAATACAGGCATTTACCCCTGCAACCTTTCAATAAATAAGACCCCCACCACTAAGTTGAACAACAAACAATAGACCATGTAATGGCGCTAAGATTCTTTCATTGATCGGTGCGAAGACTTGTATGATACATTTGATTTACTTCTGCCGTGGACGGGGATCATTTGCAAGGCTTCATCCATTTCCACGCCTTACGTCCCCTTCCAAGGACCCGGCCGAAGCAATCGGTCCTCTTTGCCGAAGACACTTACCTCTTTGACAATGGCGGTGAAACGACGGTGAATATCCGGGTTTTGGCCAATTCGAGGACGGAAGATCCTAAGTAGTTCAACGATGGTAATGCCAGTCGCCGGAATAGCGGCATGAATCTCTGCGGGCGTTGGGAAGGAGATGTTTCCCATCGGTCCAGGCGTCGACACGCGTCCTTGGCCTGTTGTGCGCCAGAAAAGTCAGCATACTATGATTGACCAAGGGAATGGACGATGACTTGCCTCGAGCTCCGTCGGGACTGCTAGCACGGCTTCCGGAGAAGCTTTGGTTGCCCGCAACGGGGCTAGCTGCCCGGGATCCCTGTGGCGTCCCACCGCGAGAACCCCCAGAAGGCGGATTCAGCTTCAACTTCTTAGATTTGCCACTCTCACTCATCTCGGCACCAGATCCCACAGCATCAATGTCGCTGCCAGACCCGGACGCTCCCAGTGGGACATTGCGAACTCGTTTCTTGCCAGCCTGAATAGTATTAAGTTAGTCACGGTCCATTCATTCCATCTTCAATGATACTTACTTGCACGCCAGATGGCGAAATTGGCCTTGAAGTGGGCTGCGGAGTCTGGTGAGCGGAGTGCTTATTCTTAACCTTCTTTCGAGAGGAATCAGTGCCACTGGCATCTGAGCCACCGGGCGAGCCCAGTCGCTTGCGAGATGCGGTAGATTTCTTAAGAGGGTCGGTATGCTTCGGACGGCCGGACGGCGTAGTGGCACCTTTCGTCGAGGACGAAGCCGATTCTTTCTGGTTCTTTTCCTCTTCGGCTTTCCGTTCCTCCTCCTTCAACCGTTCAGTTTCACTGTCGTCGGAACTCTAGGAAGAAACAGTGAGTCTCACAAGCTCTTGGCAGATACGGAAATAGAAACATGACCTTACCTCCTCTTCGCTGTACGGGTTAGCGTCTGAACCACTGCTGTAATCAAAGTTCCTTTCTCTTTTCTTCAGAGCTTTGCGCATCTTCTTGCCAAGTTTGTGGCGGGCCTCGCGTTCACGCTTTTCCCGCTGTTCTTCTTCCTCGTAGTCCTTTTCTTCCTTGAGGTCGAAGACGTTCGCCTTGAGTTGATCATCCTTGATTCTTTTCTCAGCAGCCTTGGTATCTTCGTCTTGCTCATTGAAGAGGTCGTCGTGTTCCTCGTCGTCTGCGAATCGGTCTTCTTCGAAATCCATCTCACTGGCTTCTAAACCTTCTCGTCCAGCCAAAGCGCCTTGCTTCCCGGCGTAAACTTTGCGTGATTTAGCATATTGTTCCAGCTCCTTCTGCTGTGCAACCTCTTGTTGTTTTTCCATGAACCAGCGCGGGTCTTTTACCCGCTTCGCCATAAATTTCTCTGCTTCCTCGATAGTCAGGGCCTTGAAATGACTCTTGGCGCTGAATTTGTACCACTTCTCCGCGGGGATCATGCGCATCTTGCCGTTATCGAGGATGAACACTGCGTGGGTCTCCGAAAGAGCAGCTTCGTAATTACCGACCCAGGTATTGCGGTTGTCGAAATCCTCGAGGTGCCAGGGTAGGGCTTCTTCATATTTAATCCGAGCTCTTGCGATCTCCTCGGGGGTCATATCGGATTTGAAGACTTGTTGTGTTTTCTGCTTTGGGGCATTTGGTCGCTTTGCGGTAGATCCAACCGACGGGGCGATCTGAGCGAGATTCTCGGCGCGCTCCTTCTCTCGCGCAGCTCTCCTCGCGTCGAGCGCCTCTCGCTCTGCCTCGTCCAGTTGTTGGCCATCGGGGCCCACCATTCTCTCCGCATTATGGTCATGGTTTCGGGAACGCGGGTCTCGGCGCTGCAGCCTCACTGGGCGCGTAAACTGCGACTCATCGCGTGGGTCGACAACCCGCTTGGCGGCAAAGCGAGCGATGTGGTTCTTCAGCCCCTCGCGTATGGCTCGCTTCGTCGTCACCACCGGGTAGTCGACATATTTCTCTGATAGGAGAGGGCCACTAAATCCGTTCACGGCATGCTCATCCCGCACGGGGGCTGGTCGAGGCCGTTCCAATGGCTGAGATAATGGCTGGGGGTTCGAGGACAAGGGTCGCGAGGGAAGCGTCTTGGTCGCTGTTTTGCCCACTGGAGCGGCTGCGGCTGGAGCGGCTCCCGCTGGCCTCATTGGTCTTCTCTTTGGGCGGACTAACGGGTCGGCGGCTTTGGGGCGACGGATCCTCATGGGAGGAGCTCCATGAGGGCCTGTAGGAGTGCGCCCATTTGAGGGATTAGTGGGCGTGGACATGATTCTCTCAAAGACAACCGTTGGAGATTCTCGGAGTGAGGAAGATATTCATGGGCCAAGGGAAGAGGATGGGCGAGAATCCGAAGAGTCCAGGAAGCGAGAAGCTGCGGAGTCATCCTTCAGCCTGACAGTGATGATGAAAGGTCACGCGGTAGCTTAGTCATTCTCACCACCACTTGGATAACTACGTTAGCTGATAATCAACTAACTCATCACATAGTAATGACTAGCTCATGGTCTCATTTGACAGTTCTTTGCATGGTCTTGTTCCAAGCAGTTCATTCGATTAAATCAATCTAAGGGCAGACAGTCAGCACAATTGGGATGCGCAGCTGTCTCTCAATGTTGCGAGAATGAGGTTATATATGTATACATACATACCCAAGGCATTCTGCTAAACATGTGCTCTTGTGTCCGGACAAATCCTAGCTATTATTGTTACATACACTACAGGAAGGATAGAGATTGTTCGGCGCTCTTAATATTTCGTTCATTCATTTTCTCATATACTTGGCCACAGCAGTAAGTGAAACTCAAGTTCCGAACTTCTGCCCTGGTTCCAGATGCCGGTAGGGACAGGCAATCCAGTCGCAGCCTTGCTTGTAAATCTCCGTTCCCCACCATTGGAATCCCGCGACCCAACCGGGATAGATGAGAGCAAAGAACACGATCACCACGGCGAAAGCTAGTCCTGAGTCCAAGGCGGCCGATAGGGTCATGGCATATTTCTCCCACCAAGCCGTCTTGCGGCGACGGATCACATAATTAAAAACGAAGCATACCAATGCCCAGGTGGAGAAGTTCAGCCCTGTAGCCGGGGGGATCCAGCTGAGGCTGCCAAACAGTATGGGGAAGTTAACCTTACGCCAAAAGCTTTTATTGCTTCGTCGACCAAGGGCCCAAGCGCCCAACGGGGCCACGGCGCCAATCAAGAATGCCCACACCAAGGGCCGGTACAGACCATCTGGGCCAAAGAATCGTTGCGGACCCACGACACCCCAGAGAATACTTCCATTGAAATGCACTCGAGCAATCGGACAGTTGAATCCATTCAGCGCCTGGGGAGTGCACAGTTTGGGGATGTGGGTGAACATCCAATTCAACACGCCAATCTGGGTTAAACTAGAGACCAACGTAGCAACCATCTGTACGCTAAACAGAATGCGAGGTGGGATTTTCATGTAATGGCCGAGCTTGAGATCGGAGGAGAACTTGATGCCTTGCGCGGAGCTGATATAGGAGTAGGTCACGAAGATCATGTTCGCAACGGGCCGTCCGGGAAAGACGATGCCACAAAGGAGCTGGCAGATTAAATAGAGACTGCTGTGTTGATTGGTCACGGCCATGATGATACCAACCGGGATGAAAAACACGCTCGTTACGCCCAGTGCCAGAAGCAGTCCATACCAAGGCAGGTGGACTGGGTAGCTGTAAAGCATAAGAATGTCAGTGGAGCCATAAAACAAGATAATAGAATCCGGAGACAACAGCAACAACTTACTGTTCCACGGTATATATGGCAGTGACAACCATGGTGACAAGCACAAGGAGATACCATGTGAGTGGGGCATCTTTGTATCGCCTCATCAGGCGACAATGGACATCCTCCATTCCTAATGGCACCTCTCGAGGGAGCTCCTGTGAGTCTCTAGGGATATCATAATTGCGGCGAGTCTGCGGGTGACCACTTTCACTCTGCAGGGGTTCATATGTGTCAAGGTCTGGAAGATCTCGTCGTTCCTCAAATGCCCGGCGAGTTTGCTGCCAAATATCCTTGCCATACCAACACACAGTATGGGTGACGAGGGATGTAAGGGCCGCAAATTGAACTCCATATGATAGTACATAGGTAATAGGAAGATAGACTGGTGAATAGTCCTCGTAGGCCTTCTGATCGAACATAAAATCCGAAGTTAGGATTCGGCTCACGTTGTATGGATGACCCTCGTTGTCGAACACAGCCGCTGAGAGGATAGGCATAAAGGACGAAAATAGCACATTTTTAAAGTCTGTCCGCAACTTGGTCAGCAGGGCACACCGTGAAGGAAACAAAGTTGCGACCTACATAGGATAGGGGCAATGATCCAGATGACGACTACCAGTCCGGTAACTATATTCGCGGCAGCCCACCAGGGCGTAAGTAAAGGTGATCCAATATATGCGATCTGAGCCCAATCAAACGTTACAGGAAACATTCCAAGACCCGAGGCCACACCAAACTATAAATGTCAGAAGCACATCTCAGGATGCAATGATGCAAAGGATGAAAAAAAGGTACGAGGGATTAGAATGAACACGTACCAGATTGGAGACCACAACGCTCTTGGGAGCAAACCAAGTGATCACACTGAAATAGCTCAGGGCAGGCATCAGTAAGCCCGGGACAAAGTACCAAAGAAAGGCTCCACCCCAGACTAGAATGAAGAATTTGTAGCGGGAGATACTCCACCCATTCGCCTTCTTGTTGGTGGACTTGTGCATCGTGGAAAACATGGCAGTGGACATGAGAGTTCCCGGCCAGATCATCGCGGATGGCCGCACTAGAAACCTTCTGGTCAATCCCGCAAAGGCATAGCCTAGGACCTGGGTCGAGATGATCAGCAGCAACTGATACATAATTGGAACTTCTTGATTATAAAATTTATGTTGCTCGACGATCACCTATAACGCTCGTCAGCCTGGGATTACGCTCGAGGGGGTCAATGATAATGGGCACTCACGTCTGTTGCAAAGGCGAATCCGAACGAGACATTGCTACTGATGTAGACACATGCATGTTCCTTCTCATTCCAACGGCCCTGGGCGAGCCATAGTCGAACTCGGGAGACCCACGAGTGATTAGAGAGATCAATCTCGCCGGCTAGGGATTCCCGATGGTCGAGGGTTCCATTCTCAAACACTTCAAGAGGATCGTCAGTTCTTTTCAAGATAACATCCCAGAACTTGCCCAGTGGGTGGACTAGAACCAGAGCAATAATCGGGGTGATGGCCACGCTCGGATAGCGAAGAGAGAAGAAAAGATTCGCAGCGGAGCCGGTAAGTGAAAAGAGCAACGAGAGAATCCACATTCGAGGGGCTATATTGATATCCATGAGTTAGATCCGACTTGACTGTTTCAAGGGCAAACCTACTGTTGATTGACAGAGTGGTGTCGTCTGTCGCTGGGACCGTTGCTCGAACTTGGGCATAGCTAAATCAACCGCAGGTGTCAGCCTTTGACCATTCGAGAGAGGAAGCCGGTCGAACTCACGGGGAATTGTCCGGAGGATCCTCGTCGGGGAATTTCGAGTCCGTGTCCTCCACATCCAGGAAGTCTTCCTCGTCACTCGTCATATACGGGGAAGAGACCGGGGTATCCTGCATCACGGAATTCCCAGGCACCGCTAGTCCCGTCGCGAATGAGAATTTTGAGTCGGCCCCCATGCCTACATCCGAGGTAGCAGAGGAGGGTCTTCGATTGCGGGTCTCTCTATACCAGCCGCTGCTTCTTCGACCCGATGAATGCGAGCGTTTTGGTTTGGATCGATGTTCTGCATCCCGCGATGGACCTGCGCCGGCCTCGAGACTCGTTTGCAGCGATCTGCTTCCACCCACGTCCCTACGGACATTTCGTTCTGGTAAATGGGCGTGGGAATCATGTGGAGTACGTACGGTGCCATACGACGTTGAGTCCAGGGCGGGCGACGACCGGACCAGAGGGGTGCGCGACATGAGGGCGCGGAGGCGCTGGGCGAGCGACGTGGAAGCGGGCGGGCTCACGTCGGGATCCAGGTCAAGGTCAAGATTAAGGTCCGAGTCGCAGTTTCCATTGTTGTCGCTCCTGTCACAATTCTCACACAATTCAGGATCAATATCTCGATCAGAATGTGGACTGGAAGTAGAATTGGACGGGCAATGGTCACAGTTCCCCTCCACTTGGTGCGATTCGGCGGGAAGCTCCTCGCCCCTCAGGTTGGGACAAGATAGCTTCCGCGTCTGGAGCGGGATATCGGCCGTCGTGATGGTGGAATTGATACTCTTTTGTTCTCTGTTCGCTGGAGTGACTCCATATGAAGATGATTCCTTTGGGATTAGGTCGTGCAGTAGCTCCAAGCGAGGAATTGTCCGGCCCCACTTGATACGCAAGAATCAACTTCCGGAGATCCACTCCATCCGAAGTGTACAAGTCTGGTATATACTTTATTGAATGTACTATGGATATCTCTTCTCTAAAACAACTCTGTCACTTTCTCATCTTCATCGGCAGGGGCTTCGATCTGTGCTTGCGCCTGGGCCAGGCCGGCCTCGGTCTGAGCTCCCTCCCCTTCCTCATCTCGCATCAACACCTGCACGAGTCGGTCACACGCTTCCCGTACTCCTTCATCCTCGACATTCAAGTGACACTCTCTGATAAACGAGTACACCTGCACCGACCGCATGAGAGCCCGGCCTTCGGGAGTGGTTGTCAGGAGCAGCAATGTCTCCAGATGGGTAATCAGAATGGTGGGATCGCTTTCACGCTGCTTGTCGGGCGGTAATAGCTGAAGGTCTGGTAGCATCGACGCCATTTCATCGTCGGGGAACTCCTCTGGTCCAGCGATAGGCAGGAGCAGATAGGGTAAAAGGTTGGCCTCGTTTTCGGCGAACAACATGGGGTGAGAGGGGATGTCAAAGGCCACATTCTTGATCGTGGAGGCGACTCCCTTGCGACGGATCTCGCTCTTGTGTTCCGTGAACACCGTCAGCTTCGTGATGGGGACGACCCCATCATACTCTTGACGTGTGGTGAAATAGGCCCGTCCCTGCTCGGTTTGGGACAGGTCGGCGAAGAAGTAGGACAGGTAATCGTAGTTGGCGTCCTTATTGAGACCCCCCTCTGCACCCTTCACGAAGCAGTCCATCAGCTGATCAATGGCATTCTCCGAAGTCGACACCCCCTCGGGCACTCTACGCTTCAATGTATGTAATCTGTGGAGGTGATCGGACTTGACGAGGTTGGCCAGAAGCATGGCCGTTTCATCGACATTTGGATCCTTGACGTTCTATCAATCCACAATGGACAGTCAGTTCACCGTCTAGGCATGGAGGAGGTTCACGGACCGTCAGTTTCAGTAAAAGGGTCTCGATGTATTCATCATCCTCTGCGAGGACCTTCAGGATCTCCTCATCGGCTGAGAGGTTGACTAGGATCGTCAAGACATTCTTGGCGATCGGCTACCGGGCAATATGTGTGATCAGTTGCTGAATCGAGCGTTTGTGGCGGGGAGTGTCGCATCGCAACGTACGGTGTAGTCTCGAGTCAATAGCTTCAGATCCCGGATCGGAAGTAATTGATGCCGTTTGAACAGGCTCGGTTGAGCGATAGAGTACCCGACGAGGTTCTCACAAGCTGTTGAACTGATGATCAGCAAGGGTGGAAGGGACATGGGAGATTGGGATCATACCAATTTGACGGATTTGCGAATTGCCATGGTGAAGGAAATCCACCAGCTAAGCCAGTCAGCAGGGTCTATAGCAGAAGCGAATCCAACCTACCTCTTCCGTGACTGTCGGCATGATGTGTGTATGAGTATGAGTTCGAAGTGTGGGGCAGTTCACAATTTTTTTGAATCAAAGTGGGGGAGAGCGAAGTTCGGCGTCATTCCATCGTCTTGACAAATCATGTACATGACATAGATCACGATAATGGAGAATCAGTATTATATGTCGGTGCCGAATAGAATTCCTGGCCAGAAAGTAAAGTCAAGTTGCATCTTCATCTTCGCACTGTAGTCCCCTCTTTTAACTTCTCTAGCGTCAGACCCGTTCTCTTCCCCTCTTCCCTCCCGCACTTCGTCTCGATCACATATAACCACTTTTCACACGATGACTGCCCCTAATTTGAACGAAATTCATGACTTTCTGGTATCGTTGGCCCACCAGGCGGGCGAAATTATCACAAATGCTCTGCCCGAAACCAGTGGTACCGGGTCCAAGAAGAACAGTCCGTGACAATGAAGTTTGTATACGATACATGGGATCCACTAATATTTGAATTGAGCCTTGCAGGTGCCGACTTGGTCACCGAATATGATCGGGCAGTGGAGACGATGATTTCGACTTCGCTCAAGGAGAAATATCCCGATTACGAGTAGGCTCTCCATTGCCACCGTCCAGATGTGAATTCCATACTGAAAGTACGCAACAGGTTTCATGGCGAGGAAACCTATGACCCCAATCGGCCTTTGACCGATGCTCCCACGTTCATCGTGGATCCCATTGATGGTACGGTGAATTTTGTACACAGCTTCCCGTATGCCTGTGTTTCTCTGGGCTTCGCCGTGGGCCGAGTTCCCGCTGTGGGGGTGGTCTACAACCCGTTCACCAAGACCTTGCATTCCGCGATTCGAGGCCAAGGTGCATTTCTTAACCGGGAGACCCGCCTGCCGCTAAAGGGGGAGAATGTAGAGCCCCTCTCGGGGCTTGCCAATGCCCTCATCAGCATCGAATGGGGCTCCGATCGCAGCGGGCCCAATTGGGAGACCAAGGTCCGGACGTTTGCGAAACTTGGTCAGGCGAAAGAGAACGGGGGCGCGATGGTGCGCTCCATGCGGAGTTTGGGATCGGCCGCGCTCAACATGTGTGCAGTTGCGGAGGGTACCATGGACCTGTACTGGGAAGGGGGATGCTGGGAGTGGGATGTCTGTGCAGCGTGGGTCATCCTGACCGAGGCGGGAGGCATCATAGTCGATGGGAATCCCAACGGGTGGAAGGCTTCTTTGGATGGGCGGAAGTACCTGGCGGTTCGAGGAGCCCCCGAAGCCGGGCAGAAGCAGCTTGTGGAAGAGTTCTGGAGCAATATCCAAGGCCAATTGGACTACTAGCGCGCAATGCAGAGAGAATCTCGTGTGTACGTGGAATCTAGATAGAAGGTCGTTATTAATTACAGGGTATGCGTGCTATATACAAAATCTTCTGATATCCCCCGCGGTTCCAAGGCATTCATTTTTCATGGCCGCAGCGTGGGGGACCAACGAAAGCCAGCGTCGTCTTTCTCGTCCAGCCCGGATTCACAATTATCATCTTCATCTACCTGGCGATCCGTCCATCGCGCTGAATCTTGTCGAGAAACCTCGGCATAGTGAGATTGTCCATTGGTGCTGCTCGTTTTGTGGGATTCGTGCTCAGCCGGGAATGTTTCTGCTCTTTCATGCATTGAGAAATGTGCGAAGGGTCGAGAAGGTCCCGGACAATCGTGGAAATGATTCGGTCCCAAACGAGGGGTCTGTACTGGATCCCCATTGGAGTCGTCATTTTGGCCTTCAACTTCGTCGCCGGAGCTAGTTGGCCCAACACCAGGCGACTTGGCCCGCTCCACCGTTTGTTGCAACGTATCGTCTGTCTCCACAGCCTCGGTATGTCCAAAGTGCGTATCGACCAAGTGTTTCACGACAGGCCATCCGTAGGCATTGGTGAACATGCGTCGTACAATAATATTATTATGGGCGTCGGGCTCGAGGCGCACAAGGACCTTGCGCCAGGTCAAATCGCGGTGATAGGCACGGGCAATCTTTTCTTCGACCTTCAATCCACTTTCCCCAAGGTTGGCCGAGACGTTGGAGGGGACTTGGGTGGCCGCGGGTGCCGCTTTCGAGCTCTTATTCTGCAAAGAACTGAACGCTATGGTTCGTCGTTTCACGGGTAATGGGGGTGGGATGTCGTCCGAGTGATAGATTCGATCATGAAAAATGGTCCGTGGGCGGGCTGAAGGGTCCAGAATGAAGTCGGTGGGCGGTAAAGGTGGCATCAGTAGGTCGCCTGCGGACTCAAAAAAGGTCGTCTTGGGGGGCGTATGCAATCCTTCTTCATCCTCATACAAGGAATTTCCCCGGACTAAAGGAGCAGGACTCTCGTTAGCATCAAAGGACGCGAGAGTCTGGCTGCGCCTGTAGATTTTGGTATGTTTCGGGCGCGGAGGAGGCTTGGTCTCTTTTGTGCGGAACAAGGAGAGAAAAGTGCTAAGAGGACCAGATGAGGCATTTCCAGCAACGTTCTCCTTCGGTCCGACATCTGCCACTTGGCTGTGATGCGATGAATGTCTCTTCGACGCAATGAACTGACCCGAGGTGGGAGGGGATGGGTCTTCCAGAGCCAGGGCTTCGTGCTCGTCCAACGAAGAACTACCCTCGGCCAGTCCTGGTAGTTCACCGGGACGAGCAATCTGGGGGGACTTAGAATTGGCTCCAGTCAACTCTGCCCAGCCCCATTCGGCCATGGTTCCAACAATACCGTTATCTCTTCTCGCCTTCTCCACTCGATCAAGGCCTCTCCAGTCCAGGAAGAGCAAACAAGATGTCCGCAAGGGAACAATTCCATCGTTCACCACATTCGAATAAACAGTACGATGCTGAAACTTCTGCAAGGCCTCGTGAGCGGGCCCACAAGGCAAGATTCGCAGAAGTGGCTTGGACCCTGGATCGGGATTGCTTTGATCTTTGGCCGCGTCACCTCGCCCACCAATGATAGCGCCCCAGCCGCTTCGTACCTTCGGTGCCGTCCAGCTTAACCCAAGATCTTGTCCTGTTCGACCGACCAGACCCAAATCAAGGGCAAAACGGACGTACATGGGGTTCTCGTTGCTAAGTCCCAGAAAGGGGGTTGCGAGGGCAATGAAATTGACCGGTCTAATCTGCTCGAAGAAATGGGGTGAGTGTTTGTGAATATATGCGATAGCATAGGTTTGAATCAGACCACCAAGAGAGTGTCCGATGAAACTAATGCCGGTGATTTGGTATGCATGGTCAGCCCCAGCAGCAAATCCATCTTGGTCCACAGAAGCATGAGGATCCGAGAAATTAGCCTCATCCTTCCGTGAACTGAAAGGGCGAGGAAATGTTTTGGACTTGGGGCCCTTCAGAGGGAAGTAGGGTTGGTCGGGATATGTCATCAACAAGATATACTTGGCCAAGCGTTTCCCAAGATACTGAATACCACGTTCGGTGCGAACTGCATTGCCTGCAAATCCTCGGACAACGATCTCCTCGTCATCCGCCTCGGTATTCTCTTGGTCTTTTCTCTTCTTGACCTTGTTCGTAGCCGCGTCGATGCTTTCCTTGAGATAGAGCATGTCCGCACCCAGATTACTATGCAAGCCATGGGTCACCACAACCAAGTGTATTCGCTTCTTTGGCAGGATATCAGAACTCTCGGTCATATTGCCCGGCTCTTCTGGCTCAAGGTTGTGGGTTCCAATCCCAGAGCCAGTCTCAACCGGATTGGTTTTTGACGGCAATGGTGGGCTGTTCCATAGACTAGTGGTGTCATCCACGCGTAGTGTGATAGACTTCGAAAATACACCTGTGGTGGCCACGACCTGTAAACCCTTGGTCCCTGGCAGCCAGTGATCCTGTAACTTCCCAGGAGGCCCCATTCCAGCCGCTGACGGCCCACCGGCCGAAAAGAACTCCAAAGATTTGGCGTCACGGGCAACCAGCATTTCAAAATGGACCGCCGCACTGTTAGAGAATATCACCTGAGACACAATCTCAATCACCCAAGTTACCGTCGAGGGACCATCGGGCCCCAGATGACCCGCCGCGAGGTTGTGAGAGCCTCCGAAAGGGGTCGGCAACTTAATAGTCGCATCCCAGTTTCCACCGGCTTTCAAATACGGTTCGAATTGGGGCAAACCATCTGTTTCTTGTTCGTTATACTTGCTGTTGGGGTCAAATGTAGATGGATAGCAGGATGCGTAGAGGGTGTACGGGCCATGGAGATAGGCGGCTCGTAGTGGAATGGCCGAGGCATTTTTTACCCTAACATACAGTTGCGCAGGGAGAGGGAGGATGGGATCGGCAGCTGGCGTGTAGGTCAACGTGTATCTATTCATGCATGCTCGTCAGCTTCATGGATTGCTCGGAAAACCGCGGTTCGCCCGAAGGGTGCGAACGGGGTTTGGAGCGGGTTCGAAGGGAGATGAAGCGAACCTGACAACCTCTCCAACGCGCACGCTGCCCGTTTGATAAGTTAACAGCATCTCTGGAGCCGGATTTGCGTTCACGAGGCTCTGGCGCCACCCAGCGAGCGTGTAGAAGCGGGACGCGCCTTCGGTGCGGGAGTCGGCTACCGCTCGATCTGGGGTTTGCGAAGCTGAATACGTTCTGGGTGTGATCAGCATCGAATTTAACGACCGGGCCCATTATTTGACGAGAGTGTATATTCAGTGTAACGACATGGCCAACCTGCTTCTCACATGGGTGAGTGCGCAAACACGGGGATCGGTTGATTCGGGAGTTGGCAGATTGCGGCTGTCGATCATGCGTGATTGTCGTTCCACGATAATTGTACATGTCCTGAATGTTCTATTTTCTCATAGATATATATAAATACTATACAATATGTTGAAACTTTCGATGCAACAAGATTGTGGGGAGAAAGGGCAGCCATTCTACGTCAAAATATAATTTCATTTTACCTCCTATAATCATTCTACAATCATTCTATGCGGTTCAAGGGCTCAACATAGGCTCACGGTTTAATGATCTGCAGGAGTCGTCTGGGCTCCATCCGCAATTCTAACCACCCGCCTTTCTCTACCACGACAATTTTACCGTCAATGCACACTCGTCTCCATCGTTCCAAGTCTTCCTGGAACTCGATTCGTACTTGTTCAACGGCGGCATAAGTGACTGGTGCCTCCTGCACATGCTGCCCCCCTTGGTAAGCCAGGGTCATGAGGCGCATTGCTTCTTCCGCTGGTAGAGGGCCAAATCGTAAGAACCGCATTTGTTCGCCCAACGGCTCCGATTCCGGTGAGATGAGGAAGTCTTTCTCTAGTCGAGGAACGAGACTAGCTAGAACATACATATGCTCATCACTCTCAATCGTCTCTTTCTGGCCATCTACCGTCAGATAGGTAATCTTGCCTCGGAATCGATGTGGTTCGGCGCCGTCCGAAGGATACAAAAGCTCTTTGGCTGCCATCTTAAACCTCTCCGATCCAAACTTGCGATATTCCACGGTATCGCTGTCGGCAACCAGGGCTGCATGTAGTCCCCAGCTTGCCACGACAGCACCATAGACGGTTTGGTGGGAGACATCGGACTCGGGACTTAAAGGTTGCCTCTGGCGCCCCTCATCAACAACGAGTTGACTCCCAGGAGATAATGTCGCCGCAAAGATCGGCACGGGTGATGGTTCACCTCTGAGCAATGCCGCGAGGCTTGAGGCTGGACCAGATCGTAGTCCGATGGAGCTCGCCATGGCATTGCCAGTCCCACAGGGGATGAGAGCGATACGCGGGGGCACTTGAATGGGTCGGTTGGATTGATAGAAAACATCGAGAATATCAACAAGACCCCCATCACCTGAAAGGAGAATAATGGTCTGAGGGATTCCTGCGCAGGCGCGCTCTAAGAACCGAGATAGAGACAGCTTGCTGATTGTCTGAGAGGACTGCGTTTCGTGGGCCTGATAACTGACACCTAGATGGGAGAGAAAGGGCTCTAAGATATCGCGGAAAACTGTTTGGGCCGATCCCGTCCCTGACAGGGTGGATATGATGACTTGCACTGGCTCGGAGAGTCGTAGATGATCTGGAAGCTTCACTAAATAGGGTGATAGTGCAGAGGGCAGGGACGGGATGGCTGTGTTTTCCAAGTATCCAAGCTCCTCGACATTTTCACCAGTCACCAGGAAGAGCACCTGGTATCCGGACAAAGAGGTGGAGGGCACAACTCCGATGATATTGGTGACATTAATATGCCCTTGGGCACCGGTGTTAGAGGTACAGTGCAAGATGTCTCCCGTCACCTCTACTGTGTCTATCGCGGTGTTCCAGTCAAACGAAGCGGCCATTTTGATTGAAGGAAATCCTCCAGAGCGAGACGGGATCTTGTACGGAGTAAAGGATGTCAAGATGTTCAGTTGATAAGCATTATCGATAAGCTCGGCGGGGTTGTTTGTGGACCCTGCAGACAGGTTTCACAGGCCGTAACAAATAACATTGTACAAGGAACTATAAGTACAATCTATCGAAACAATAGAATCCACATTCATCAACACTAGTAAAAAGTATCCTGTTCTTCGGGCGGCGATGGCACATGTTTATCACTCAAGTTCACCGCAATAAAGGACTTGGGGAGTTTGACTCTGTACAAAACGGTCAGTATAACATGTAGAGAGAGAGAGAGAATAACCAAGGTCCACTTACGTATCAAATTTTGCTTTGAGGGTCTCGATCACCTCTTTCCAATCCTGATGTGCCGTCAAGCTACGGCGTGGGGCGCACCCGATCGCGTGCCGGGAGTCAAGTTGCACGTCAAGTGGATCGAAAGCGTGGCATCCGGGGCTGATAGAGATGCGGATGGAGTAGGAGTTGACGTCCGACTCGCTATCCCGGGCTTCGTAGAGCTCGAAACAGATCTGGGAGAGATAGTCAAGCTCGGGAATGGTGCTGCGGGCGATCTTGGTCTGAATGCCACCTTCGAGGATGCAGTTCAAAAGCGTGTAGATATGGGACTCCTTGGTGAAGTAAAAGAAGGACTTCGCATCCGAAGATGCCTGCACTTCTTCCAAGTCTCGGACAATTTCTTGAAGAAGCGGGAGAGATGTAAGAAGACCGATTTCAAGTTTCTCGCTGTCCGTGATGCCATATTCTTGGGGCGTGACATAGTCGAAAAGGACTTTGGCAAGCTTATATAGCTCTCGGAGCTTGGAAAGACGCTCGTCCATCTTGCATTTATTGGAGTTCGAGCCGGGGTAGAGCTTGAAATAATGGTCGTATGAATCGTCCAGTGCCCGAAGATGCGGTAGAGATTCGAGGGCTTGGAGTCGCTTTTTCAAGCCGAACCGCTGGGCGAGTGTCGGGTTCTCTGCACGCTCCTCGGTCTTCTCATTCCCGGATTCTGCGCCATTCCGACTTTCCACGATTGACTCGGCCTTGACCGGACTCTTGCCTTTGACGCTGCACTTGTCATCATCATCGCGGTCGCTGTCTGGTGGCATAAAGACCCATTCCAGAAACTGTCTATTGTGCAAAGCATCGAACTTCATACTATCGTACAGTTCAGACAACTTGCTGGGATCCACCTTTTCGGTATCACAGAACTCGGCAAAGAGCTTTTCCCATCGCTCTTTGAAGAGGCGTGGGTCTTCTCCCGCACACCATCGCCCCTGGACATTGGAGATATGTGGTTGGTCAGGTTGCGAATTCAGCTGGTCGGGATCCTCGGCGTTCTGCAATGAAGGCTCCAATTTGTCAAAGTTATGGCGCATGACACTACGATGGAACTTCATCAGCTCCACCACCGTAGAAAGAACGACAGATGGTTCTGGAATGTTGGTATCTTTGGGCCATGCAAATTGTGAAGGGGCAGATCCCTCTCTCAGGAGCAGCTTCAGCTTCTTTTTGACTTTATCCATAACATCTTTAGCGGCATTGGAGTCATCAAGTAGATCCTTTCGAACTTGAATAAGGTCTACTGGGATTTCTTTTTGGTCCAGAAAAGAGCAAGCCCAGATTTGAGCTGATTCGTCTTGTCAGTAGGGATTTTTTTATAAAAAAAAAAAAAAAAAAAAAAAAAAAAAAGGGAAGGCATGACGGCGAGTCTGCATTTGAGAAGATCCCACTTACCACTTGTGCTTACTCGACGCTCGGAGCTGGTGAAAAGACGGACATTATTGAGAGCCTCCTTATTCATCAGTTTAAGATCGTCACGCATGTTCAAGCCCAGGTCCTGCGATTGATAGCGTGCTGCATGTGTAGGTTCCCCTCCCCATTTGATGATCAGCTGGAGTTTATCCAAGATCAAGTCATTCTCCACGGCAGAAAAGCGAGAGAATGTAGGGCCAGAGATGGAGTCGCTCCGCGTCTGTGACCCGCGCAAGGCTTCGCTGTCTTGCCCAGCTTCGCTTTGTATGGGCGAAACAGGTTCCTCGGGAGCTGTTTTGCATGATGGCGATGGGGCGGCTGAAGCTGGGACTTGCTCCCGCATTTCCTCAGGTCTGCGCTTCCGGAACATAGGCTTGATCTGTACCTTGGTTCCAGGCCAGCCGCCTTTCTTCTCCAAGGATATACGAAGAAGGTTCAATTTGTCCAAATCCTCGAGACCCTGTTCCAGAGCTAGGTTCACGGCATCAGAAACACTGGAGAGGGCCGCTGCTCCTTTAATCACCACCTCCTCTTGATGCCCCTTTAGAAGATCCACAAAAGGCTGACTGTGAAAGGTAAATTTGAACTTTTGCTTAGGTGTCCGATCTGCGTGCCGAATGACTGCTACCATTCCCTTGAGTTTCCAGGAATGTTTCGAGGCCGGAAGAGGCGGTAGGGCTCCTTCGCTGGCTTGATGAAGGGAAACAGCCGGTGACTTTGTGTTAGAAGGGCTGTAGCCGCGGGAATCTGGATGACAATCTCGCGAGTTCAGACTGCTTAGATTCATTGTAGGGTCGGCGCTCTCTAGCCCAGATGAGGATGCCAAAGAAGGAGCCCCGGTTGACACATCCGAGGGAGGAGCGTCATGGGCTCGGTGAGTATGTTGATTACCATAGAGGCGAGAAGTGCTTGGAGACTTTAATAGCGTTTTCAACGCTTGTCGATGAGAGCCCGCGGTACTTCTTCTGGATTGGCCCAGGTCCGGTGAAGGGGGTTCTGAGAGCTCCATTGAGCCTTCAACCTTGCGCATCTCGTTCCAGAAAGTATCGCGCAGAATCTGGGCGCATTTATCATAGTAATCATTGTTGTCTTTGACAAAACTCCAGCCATTCACGTCGATCACATAGCTCTTGTCCCCCACACGAAGCATATCAAAACCGCAGATTCGCTGACCGAATCCGTTCGAAATCTTCGAGGCAATAGCGGCTTCTTCTTTGCTCAGCTGGGTGATGTATCGTAGCTCCTTACCGTGCGTGTTTCGACGGACGAGCCCGTCGACAACTGGTGACTTGCGTGTCTCAGCATGACAAAAGTCAGGGCCCACTGTGTACGCTTTCACGTCTTCTGCATTGTCCACCCGAAGAAACTGCTCATACAGATAGCTCGTCCCGGTCTCCGTGACCGAACGAGGCACGGAGAGGTTAGCGTCGTATTCCGAGCTCTTGTTCCCGACTTTTCGGAAAAGCTTGCGTCCGCCACCGCCATACTGTTGATCGTTGGGGAAATAGATGTGGATATTGTGGTCTTCCCCATTAACGGGTTTCTCCACAAAGGGCTTGCGGAAAACTTTGCCATCCACAATGAGCGACTCGCCGTCCTCCGACATGGATACCTGCTGGGTTCTCGGGGCACCGCCTCCCGTGCCGTCTTCAGGGCCCTCCAGCTTGACCCCCGTCAGTCGGTATATGTGTTGAGCGAGATCTGGCGACTCCAAAACCGGCCCGCCATCGCGATTCACCTCGACTCTCTTGGGTGTGGGGACTCCCATTTGATCCAAAATCTTCAAACATAATCGTCGGTCCCACAACACCTTTTGCATCGGCAGGTCATTGACGCAGATTGGCTTCCGGAGTTTGGCATAGGCGATGGATTTGTCTAAGGGAAACCCATCCGAGAAGAAGGCGATCAGGAAATCACACACCGGCCAGTTCTCCACATCTTCATCTAGGATCACCTTATCTCCGAAGACAATCACCTCAAATTCGCCCTTGGCTTGGAGTCGAGTGAGAATGTTCTGGCTTGGCTTGCTGCGGGCTTTCACATCTAGGGCACAGACGCCAATCCTCCACAGTTTAGACCCACTAGGCTCCAGTTCACTGATAGAACTTGCCGCCGTACTGCCACTGAATCGTCGGGGGGTGCGACTGGAAGAACGGTTGGAATGGCCAAAACGCGGGGCCGAGCGAGTATCTGGGACCGTGTCCACTCGACTAGGCTTCATGGGTGAATGCTGGCCATGGGGCCGTGTTGACGTCAAGGGCTCCGTTGGCGGGATCTCCTTCAGCTCCGGGTCCAGGGAGAGCAGTGGTGAGCCTGAGCCCAGAATCTGGTCAAAGACCCCTTTCGATGAGCCCGCGTCGGCAGGTGAGCTGCCACCCTGACCATTGTCTGATTCCATCACACCGAGTGGTTTACCAGGTTCGAGGGGGAGGTAGGTGCGAAGAGGAAAGAAGAGGTCTCGGGTCGGTGATTAGAGGGGCAGTGGGGGGAAGTGCGGGTTCTCGCCGGAGATTGAAAACCAGCAATTAACCTTGGAATTGTACGGGCGACTGAATTGAACACATTACTTCACGTATACGTCAAAAGAGGGAAAGCTGGAAGATCCCTTTGGAAGCGTACGGAGTGGAACGAGAAAGAAAAAAAAAGTTAACTCATGGACGAAAGCGAACATACTACCCGAAAGCACAGAACATCATAACCTTATCTAGTGACAAAAATGCATGAAGATGAGGAGAGATTCTCTCGTATCTCATGGATCTTGGGATGTTTTCTTTGCTTTTTTTTATATCTTTTTCATTCTTTTAAGCTCAGTTTATCCGTGATCCTTCAGGTCTTGATTCTTCTTTAGATCTAGGAACTAGCAAGTCGTCCATATGTATTAAAATGAGCTTTGGGGTTCTTGAGAAATGTAAACTTTCTTCAATAGAGAGTCCTTACACCTAAGCCTAGAATCTTTATTGTAGATACCTATGGTGATACTTTGACTGGTGCATCCTCTGATACGGAGATGTGGATGCAGATCCCCAAGGCGGTGTACGAGCTTCAAGGCGGAGAAGGAAAAAAAAAAATTCTCGACGCATCTTCGATAGAAGACATCGACAAAGATGTTGTACTTTCGTTGATTACCGATTCTGCCTTCTCTGGTAGTGATAATTGTTCATTTATCTTCATTTTTCTTCCTGATCAACCCTTCCTTTTTCACCCGCTCGATATCATTGCCTTTCACACATCTTTTTCATCATGCCGGCCTTGGCCAATGATACTTTTGACTTGCCTCTGGCCAAGAGGCAGAAGAGGACGCTGAGTGAAGAAAAGAGGGTAGCTAACCAGCGTGGAGGATCCAAAATTTTCGCTCCATTCCGGGTACGTTTGAAACTGAGTTTAACTTGAGTTGATCTTCTCTCAATATTCTTCTTGTCTTCTAAGGTTCTCTTGCTAATGGGCTTCGAATCAAGACATTGGGACTTATTTCTCCAACTTCAGTGCCATTCACTAGTGTACGTCTGGGAAAGTCTACCTACCAGATCACGACATCGGTAGGCCATACGCTACAGACCTATGACTTGCGACGAGGTTTGAACTTGATCTTCTTGAGTCGGCCGCAAACTCCGGAGTTCATTACAGCGACATGTGCCTGGCAAGATAAGGTGTTTGCTGCTTGGGGTTACCTTCGCCGCCGTTCTCCTGGAGGGGTCTGGGTGTTCAAGCGTGGTAAACGAGTCGCATCCCTGGAAAGCCCGGACTTGGATGGGCCCATTGAACGCTTGGTGGTATTTGGGTCGTGGGTTGTTGGCTGCTGGACTGGCGGTCTTGAAGTGTGGAAGACAGGGAGCTACGAGCACTACGCCAGTCTACGACCCCAGGCGAACTCGGGTTCTGCGGGGGGAGCCATCTACGCAGGACTATTGTGCAACATGCCGACGTACCTGAACAAGATCTTCGTGGGACGCATGGATGGTGCCGTGGATATTTGGAATATTCGAAGCGGAAAGCTACTGCATACGTTGCCCCCACCGTCGTCCAACTCAGGACCGGTAACGGCGATCCACCCAACCCCCGCTCTGTCTCTCCTAGCCATTGCCCACAAGAGCGGTGCCTTGTCGATCCAAAATGTCGACTCGGGGCAACTCGTATTGTCACTCCGAACTCCCTCGGCACGCGCTCTGCCTGTGACATCAATCACATTCCGAAGTGATGGTCTTGGCGCAGGTCACGATGGCCGGAAGGCCGGCGTCATGGCTACTGCCGCCAGTGGGAGTGGTGATATCACCATGTGGGATTTGAATGATGGGGGCCGAGTGGCTGGTATCCTCCGTGGAGCCCATCGAGTAGCAAACCGAGACAATGGCACGGGTGTGAATCGTATCGAGTTCTTGGATGGACAGCCAGTGCTTGTGTCCTCAGGGGATGACAATGCCTTGAAAACATGGATATTTGACGAGACTCCGTTCTCTCCGACACCCCGGCCACTCCATGTACGAGGGGGCCACTCCGCCGCCGTCAGCGCACTTGAATTCTTGCCCGCTGCCTCCGATGGATCTGACTCTGGTGGGAAATGGCTTCTCAGTGCAAGCAAAGATTGTAGCCTCTGGGGGTTAAGTCTACGGAAAGATAGCCAACACGCCGAGATTTCGCAAGGCAATGTAGAGAGCAAGTCGAAGAAAATGGGTCCCACTGATCCATCTAACTCGGTGGTTGACCCTCTCAAGGCATCCGAGGTGACCTGTATTGCATGTTCTCTAAATCGAGATGGGGGCATGGGCATCACTACGTCGGGCCCCATATGGTCGAACCCCAAGTTCACCAATACCGAATCTACCAACTCCACTGGATGGGAAAGCGTCGTGACCGGTCACCGAGGAGACAAGTATGCGCGAACTTGGTTCTGGGGAAAGAAGAAAGCCGGCCGCTGGGCGTTTGGAACAAACGACGGCACCGAAGTCAAGGTACGTTTGGCATCCGCTGTGTTTCCCAGTTTAATTGTGACTGATCAAGATATCATAGAGCGTGGCTGTTTCTCAATGTGGAACTTTTGCAGTCATTGGATCCGCCGGGGGGTCCATCGATATGTTTAATCTACAATCCGGCCAACATCGGCAGAGCTTTCCATCTCGGGGATCCAAGTCTCGTGCCATGAAAATGCAGGGAGGGAGTGATTCGGCCTTTGCTTCCTCGCGCCCTATAGATGCCAGACACACGAAGGCGGTGACTGGATTGATGATTGATAATCTTAACCGGACCGTAATTAGTTGCGGCCTGGATGGGAAAGTCAAGGTAAGTCCCTCTATCCTCTTGAACAGCCTTTCACGCCGTCCGTACTGATCAATTTTCTTTCACTTCAAAGTTTTGGGATCTGCTTTCAGGCTCTTTGCTAGATGAATTGGATTGGAATCCAATGGCAGCAGTAACTGGCATTCGCTACAGTAAGACGAGCGAGCTGGTCGCATTCAGTTGTGATGACCTCTCTATTCGTGTGGTTGATCTTGAGACTAGAAAGCTAGTGCGTGAATTCTGGGGCTGTGTGGGTCAAGTTAACGATTTCATCTTCTCCAATGATGGCAGGTGGATCATTGCGGCGTCCATGGACTCCGTAATACGAGTCTGGGACTTGCCCACCGGACATCTCATCGACATCTTCCGCGTTTCCAGCACTTGCGTCTCATTGACCATGTCATCCACAGGGGAATTCCTCGCTACCGCACATGCCGGAAGCATTGGTATCAGTCTCTGGAGCAATCGTAGCCTGTTCATGCCCGTGTCCACCAAGAATATGGATGAGGATCTCATCGAAGATGTCGGTGTCCCCACCACATCGGGCGAGAGCGGCGCGGGTCTGGTTGAAGCGGCCTTCATGGAGGCCCCTGGGGCAGACGAGGCAGAAGGACCCGTACTGACAACTGAACAGCTGCAGCAGGATATGGTCACTCTCAGTCTGGTTCCTAAAAGCAAATGGCAGGCATTGGTCCATCTTGACTCTATCAAGGTACGCCCTCTCTTCCAATATGTGTGCGATGTTCTCACTAACAACGATTTAGGAACGCAATCGGCCCAAGGAAGCACCCAAGGCTCCTGAGAAGGCACCATTCTTTCTTCCCTCCATGCTCAGTGATACGCACTCTCAACCGCCGCATCAAGCCGCTGCTGAGGCCGCCGAGGCTGGGTCTCTCTCACACAACGTAGAGGTAGAGCGATCGCGTGTGTCCAAAATGCCAACTGGCGGGGTCAGTTCTGCATCCACCATCACTCAATTGCTCCAGTCCGGTCACGGAACTGGGAATTTCGATTCCTTGATTGAGCATCTCAAATCCCTTTCCCCAGCACGAGCTGACTTGGAGATTCGTTCTCTTGATCCTCGGGCGCGCAATGGATTCTCTGAGCTGTCCAGTTTTATCAAGGCCCTCACAATCCGTCTCAAACTAAGAAGAGATTTTGAGCTGGTCAACGCATGGATGGCGGTGTTCCTGAAAATTCATGCTGACACGGTGGAACTTTGTTCCCATCATGATGAACCCGAATACCATCTATTGCAAGAAGCCCTCACCTCTTGGGCCCATGAACAGGAACAGGAAGGCAGGCGTCTTGCTGAACTGGTTGGATACTGCCGTGGAGTTGTTGGATTTCTCCGATCTGCACGATAAGACATCCCATGTATACATAGTATAAGCAGTTTACATATTGATTGATTGAAATTTTTATGGTTTGATAATTTTCTTTCCGAGTTTACTACCCGCGACACCGACATGCTGGAATTAGAGGCTTTCCTGATGTCGTGGATCAAATTATTTGGTTCGGCCATTCCACACGTACAGTTGATGAGGGCTTGGACCCGTTAATAAGAAGACGCCAACCCCCCTACTTTACCACTGGGATTGATTTGTTGGGAAGAAGGAAGGAATCTTTACGACTATAGGCCAGGGGCACCGACTTTGCGCAGTGCGAAGGTACAATCATGCCGATTTGGGGTCTCTAAATATAGCCAAAGTCAGGCCTATTCAAGGCTCCCGCGATACCACCACAAGGTTGAGGAGGAATAAGCTATGTACAGTCAAAACCAATACCCTGGTGGATCTAAATCCCCAGTCTACAGCGCACGTAGAACCGACTGGGGTATCATTGATAACATTTGCCGTGCGACTTCACAAGAACCATCACGTCGTAATTGGCCAAGTCCACCTGAACTCAGGTTATAGGAAGATTCAAGACACTTGACGACGAGTCGGGTGGAGAGGCCGGTGTGTCTGCCGGACGGCGTTGATAATACCAAGTCAATGATGAAACCTCAAGGCAGACCTTTAGGTCGAATGTGGTGAGCAGGTCCGCTTGGCAACCCCTCACAAAAGACAGGGGAGTGGGGGTGAGGGCGGTCTAGGGCGTGTAGAAATATTGGACATAAGGATAATGTCCTCACTTCTCGGGAGCATCTGGCAGTCGTTCAATGATATATTTTCCGCGAGCAACGCTCATTATGGGTGCACCGGGTATTTTCCTATACTCTATGTCAAAAATGGGGGTCCCTGACATACTGTATTTTGATTTCGAGGCAAAACAGAGGCCAATGCGACTTACCGAATTCGCCTCTTGAGATCACGGTCGTTGGTCGCCACAATATAAACGCGGTGTTTAATAACCCGATCGACCAGACAATCATCAGCATAGGTGCCTGGGTGGTCGCATTTGATTCTCTCAAATCGAGGGTCCTTGGCGACACGGAGAGCCAGACGATACTTCTGGCCCAGCTTCTCCAGCTCAGCCAGCACACAATCAGTGATGACAGGAATACACTTCGCATACAGGCAGTCCATCATGGTTGGGATGACATCAAGCTTATGCTGAATGGTATGGGAAATAAAGTTGGTATCGACAAGAACGGAATACGGCGGTGCGAGGGCCGTATTATATTGGAAAAAAAGTGATGAAGGAGCCTGGGGTCTAGACACATCATTGTCAGTGGGCGCTGGTGTGAGTCTCAAAAAGTATGCGAGGAACCTACGCTTCCCGAACTACATCATCTTTGCCGGTTTTTCCTTTCTTGTCGTCCTTGTCATTTCCTTTGCTAGAGGGCGTTATTAGCAGCAAGTAAAATCAAGGTTGCCGCAACCTTGAGAGAGGGAACAAACAGGCGGTTATCGCGTTGAGAGATTGCTCTCTTAGTTACTGCGAACTTGCGTACTTTCTTTTGAACGCCCATGATGAATTCTTAGGTGTAGTGGGAAAGGTAGGGCGGTCGCAAGAAGGGAAGATTCAAATAAAATCTTGAAAGTGAAGAATTTCGATAGATAACGACGGATCTCCTATCGGTGCATGACTAAGCCAGCTTATGTAAGTAGGTAACGTATTTCACCACCGAGCGAGCCACACGGTCAGCTGGGCCACCCCAAAATATATAGTAAGTTCGATAAATTATAACTTAGGATCACAACAACAACGCATAAAAATTATATCAAATTTTCAATGATGTTTCTTCAAGATAATTTCAGTTTACAATTGGATTTTGGTGCAATTTAATGTAGGGCTCTACGATAATACCAAAAAAATACGGCATAGATTACCAATTCAAGCTCTAACTATATATCTTTGACTTAAATAGCTAAAGAAATTAATTAAATCCCAGGAATATACAAGGAGTAGTCCAAAGATTATTTTTTGATAAGGAGAATATAAGAGAAGCTTTGATTGTTGAAATATCAAGTTGTAATTTATCGCATTCACTATGTGTTTTGGGGTGGCCCGGCTGACCGTGTGGCCCGCTCGGTAGTGAAATACGTTAACTTCACCCGGAAATGAGTTATTAAGTAATCACTTTCTAGAGAACCACGATGGTTTTTGATATTTCTCACGATATTTTATTCTGAATTAGACGGCTCTAGCTACCTGATTGCTACTAGTAACGTAACCGGTAAGCGAGCTGCGCATGTAAGCCAGCTGCGTAGCTGGAATACCATAGTAAATGCGAAAAATTACAACTCAGTATCTCGACAACGAATATATGAAATAACTTTTCCTTGAGATACAATGATTTTCATGCCATGGTAAGCTAATTAAGGGTATTTAAGAATTATCATACCATATCTAGGTCGTAAATACCAAAGATTTATAGATTAAGGATTGTAATTAACGTAATTTTTGAAATCCGAATAATGGAGCTTTTGATTTTCATTGAAATCAATACATTATATAGAGTAGTCTTATTAAAGACAGCCTATACATAATCAAATAAAAAAGGCTCGTGGGTAATAAGATATGAAGTTATAATTTATCGCATTTACTATGGTATTCCAGCTACGTAGCTAGCTTACATGCGTAGCTCGCTTACTAGTTACGTTAACGTAATTCACCCCCGAGCCGGCCATCCCGGTCGGCCCGGCCACCCCAACCAAAACGCGTTAATTAATTAGACTATATTCCTTCAACTAACCACCATACCACTAATTCGCTCTTAAAATCGTCAAAAATTGACGCTTCAAGAAGGTCGTATCTTGCTTGCTATCTAGGTAATAGAAAAGCAGGCAAAATTGTCAACCCGTGAAGCAGCACGCATATACAATATCCCTAGAATAACGCTCCAAGACTAGCTTAACGGACGTCAAAATCGCGTCGAGTTACGCGTAACTACCTTTAAATTAACTAAAATCGAAGAGAATTCGCTTAAAGAATAGGTAATCTCTATAGATATATATAGAGCAGCACCACGTCCTTCTATAGTCTAAGAAATAGCTAATCTCTTACTCGCGACACGCGGAACGACCCCAATTTAAACCGTCGGCAAAAATTAGGTTACGAAATATATTAAACGATACCTAGAACTCGATATAAGGTTCTTAAGACGCTATAATTATAAGCGGGTAAAGTACGAGGACCTAAAAATCATTATAGAATGGTTTAACCTAGTTTAAAAGATAACTTTAAAGTATAGGATCTATAAAGATGATATCTATAACTTTGATGAGACGGGGTTCGCGATAGGCTTAATAGCGACTATAAAAGTTGTTATAAGAGTAGAATATTATAGTCGTCGCTCTCTTTTATAGCCTAGAAATCGTGAATAGGTTATGTCACGGCGTGACCTCTGGGAGCATTCAGAAGCTAAACCGCTGCGCTATCAGCAAAAGACTAGTATATAAAGCCAAAGCTTTACACTGCTCTCGCATATATATACCTTAATCTATAGGCAGAACTCAGGCAGAACGGTTGTACGCATACACACCGTGACAGGTTACCGCGATTAAGTATATAGGCGCGTCTAGATATAGCCTTCCTCTAATAGTTATCTTTAAGGCAAAATTATTTATAAAAGGCTAGGCTTAAGAGTTAAAGCTTCTAGGCGACTAGTAATTCTAGGTTAGTCTAAATAGATAGATCTTAGACGAGATCGGACTTTACTAGCTTAAAAAGGTCTTTATCTTATTAACTTCCTTAAGGTTAAAGGGGATATATCGACTCTTAGTTCTAGATAGTTATAGAAGCTATCTAACTCTAAAATTCAACGAAATTTACTCTAAAAATCATATTATTCCGATCTATATACTACCGCACTTATTATATCTTTTATAACCTCTAGATATAGGTTATTTTACCGTCTTAAAGCGTGCGTATAGAAAGTGCGTCGAGAACGTGATATAGTTAGGTTAGAACTATATTAATAAGTTAGACTTTTTAGACGCCTTTCTAGACACTTAAATTAAAGCTTATAAAGTAGAAACGATCAAAAATAGCTTCTTAGTAACTAGTTTAGTTCTATATAATCTAAATCGGGTTATTTTAAAGCTTAATATTTAGCTCTAGACGCCTATACCACCACTATCTCGAGGTAGCTAAAGTAGCTAAAGTAGCATATATTAGATACCTTTAAATTATAAGTAGCTCTAGAAGCATAAAATTTCGATTAAAAAGCTCTTAAAAGCACGCTCTAAGAGCCCACTAAGCCCGCTACTTTCTTATATAGATCGGGTGCTTAAATCATGTTAAATCTATATATATAATCACGCTCTTCTAACTCGAGATATTAAGCTGTCTGAGATTGGCAGGGCAACTGGTTACCAATCTCAGGGAATTAGATCAGATGAACAAGGCAATGTGGTCAAGCTGAGCTAATTCAGGGTCTTCTCAGGAAATTCTCAGGATAGAAAGTGGAGAAGAAATTGGCATGAGATTCAAACTATTCTGCCGAAATACGAGAACTAAATACCTGAGATTTAGAGAAGAAATCAAACAGAACAAACAAATCAAGTAAAATATCACATGATATGACATAAATGAAATAGCGGAGAATTCCGGTAAAAAAGTGCGAACTCAGAGAACACGTAAGGACTCCATTCTCTGACATAATATTACTAAATATTTATTTAAGTCTTTTCTTAAAATTCTTATAGGAGGCGAAAATTTCCTTTATATTATTATTCTACTTATCCTTTAGTTTCTTATAGAACTCCCTTATAATAGGTTTAAACTAATTAAACACGGCCCCCTATAGGTAGGTAGATATATAAACTACTTTATTAATTTTACTAGTATATTAAATAATCCTTAGCTATATCTCTATCTATATAATAAAAGCCTATAGTTTAGTTTATTCTCTATGGAAGAACTCTAGCTTTAGTAGTTTAATAGGTAATACCTAGTTAGCTATAGTTCTAATTTA